CATCGTCCATGCATCCATCCATCATCCATCCATCCATCGTCCATGCATCCATCCATCATCCAACATCCATCCATCCATCCATCCATCATCCATCCATCCATCCATCCATCCATCCATCCATCGTCCATCCATCCATCATCCATCCATCTATCCATCCATCCATCCATCATCCATCCATCCATCCATCCATCCATCCATCGTCCATCCATCCATCGTCCATCCATCCATCCATCGTCCATCCATCCATCATCCATCCATCCATCCATCCATCCATCGTCCATCCATCCATCATCCATCCATCATCCATCCATCCATCCATCATCCATCCATCATCCATCCATCCATCCATCATCCATCCAACATCCATCCATCCATCATCCATCCAACATCCATCCATCCATCCATCATCCATCATCCATCATCCATCCATCCATCATCCATCCATCCATCCATCATCCATCCATCCATCCATCCATCGTCCATCCATCCATCATCCATCCATCCATCCATCCATCATCCATCCATCCAACATCCATCCATCCATCCATCCATCATCCATCCATCCATCCATCATCCATCATCCATCCATCCATCCATCATCCATCCATCCATCCATCCATCATCCATCCATCCATCCATCCATCATCCATCCATCCATCATCCATCATCCATCCAACATCCATCCATCCATCCATCCATCGTCCATCCATCCATCATCCGTCCATCCATCCATCATCCATCCAACATCCATCCATCCATCCATCCATCGTCCATCCATCCATCATCCGTCCATCCATCCATCCATCATCCATCCATCATCCGTCCATCCATCCATCCATCCATCATCCATCCATCCATCATCCATCCATCATCCATCCATCCATCCATCATCCATCCATCCATCCATCATCCATCATCCATCCAACATCCATCCATCCATCCATCATCCATCCATCCAACATCCATCCATCCATCCATCATCCATCATCCATCCAACATCCATCCATCCATCCATCCATCGTCCATCCATCCATAATCCATCCATCATCCATCCATCCATCCAACATCCATCCATCCATCCATCCATCCAACATCCATCCATCCAACATCCATCCATCCATCATCCATCCATCCATCCATCCATCCATCCAACATCCATCCATCCAACATCCATCCATCCATCATCCATCCTCCATCATCCATCATCCATCCATCCATCCATCCATCCATCCATCATCCATCCATCCAACATCCATCCATCCATCGTCCATCCATCCATCATCTATCCATCATCCATCATCCATCCATCCATCCATCATCCATCATCCATCCATAATCCATCATCCATCCATCCATCCATCATCCATCCATCATCCATCATCCATTATCCATCCATCCATCCAACATCCATCCATCCATCCATCCATCCATCATCCATCCATCATCCATCCATCCATCCATCATCCATCCATCCATCATCCATCCATACATCCATCCATCCATCATCCATCCATCCATCCATCATCCATCATCCATCATCCATCCATCCATCATCCATCCATCCATCCATCGTCCATCCATCCATCATCCATCCATCGTCCATCATCCATCCATCTATCCATCCAACATCCATCCATCTATCCATCCATCCAACATCCATCCATCCATCCATCCATCGTCCATCCATCCATCATCCATCCATCCATCATCCATCCAACATCCATCCATCCATCGTCCATCCATCCATCCATCCATCATCCATCATCCATCATCCATCATCCATCATCCATCGATCATCCATCCATCCAACATCCATCCGTCCATCATCCATCCAACATCCATCCATCCATCCATCCATCGTCCATCCATCATCCATCCAACATCCATCCATCCATCCATCCATCCATCGTCCATCCATCCATCCATCCATCATCCATCCAACATCCATCCATCCATCCATCCATCGTCCATCCATCCATCCATCCATCATCCATCCATCCATCATCCATCATTCATCATCCATCCATCCATCCAACATCCATCCATCCATCCATCCATCGTCCATCCATCCATCATGCATCCATCATCCATCATCCATCCATCCAACATCCATCCATCCATCCATCCAACATCCATCCATCCATCCATCGTCCATCCATCATCCATCCATCCATCATCCATCCATCCATCCATCCATCCATCATCCATCCAACATCCATCCATCCATCCATCATCCATCCATCCATCATCCATCATCCATCATCCATCCAACATCCATCCATCCATCATCCATCATTCATCATCCATCCATCCATCCAACATCCATCCATCCATCCATCCATTGTCCATCCATCCATCCATCATCCATCCATCATCCATCCATCCATCATCCATCATTCATCCAACATCCATCCATCCATCCATCGTCCATCCATCCATCATGCATCCATCATCCATCATCCATCCATTCAACATCCATCCATCCATCCATCCAACATCCATCCATCCATCCATCCATCGTCCATCCATCATCCATCCATCCATCATCCATCCATCCATCCATCCATCCATCATCCATCCAACATCCATCCATCCATCCATCATCCATCCATCCATCATCCATCATCCATCATCCATCATTCATCATCCATCCATCATCCATCATCTATCCATCCAACATCCATCCATCCATCATCCATCATTCATCATCCATCCATCCATCCAACATCCATCCATCCATCCATCCATCCATTGTCCATCCATCCATCATCCATCCATCATCCATCATCCATCCATCCATCCATCCATCCAACATCCATCCATCCATCCATCCATCCAACATCCATCCATCTATCCATCGTCCATCCATCCATCCATCCATCCATCCATCCATCATCCATCATCCATCCATCGTCCATCATCCATCCATCCATCATCCATCCAACATCCATCCATCATCCATCATCCATCCATCCAACATCCATCCATCCATCCATCCATCCAACATCCATCCATCCATCCATCCATCCATCGTCCATCCATCCATCCATCCATCCATCCATCATCCATCATCCATCCATCGTCCATCATCCATCCATCCATCATCCATCATCCATCCATCCATCATCCATCCATCATCCATCATCCATCCATCCAACATCCATCCATCCATCCATCCATCATCCATCCAACATCCATCCATCCATCCAACATCCATCCATCCATCCATCATCCATCCATCCATCCACCCATTGTCCATCCATCCATCCATCCATCATCCATCCATCCAACATCCATCCATCCATCCATCCATCGTCCATCCATCCATCATCCATCCAACATCCATCCATCCATCTATCCATCGTCCATCCATCCATCCATCCATCCATCATCCATCATCCATCCATCATCCATCATCCATCCATCATCCATCATCCATCCATCCATCATCCATCATCCATCATCCATCCATCATCCATCCATCCAACATCCATCCAACATCCATCCATCCATCATCCATCCATCCATCATCCATCCATCATCCATCATCCATCCATCATCCATCATCCATCCATCATCCATCATCCATCCATCCATCATCCATCCATCATCCATCATCCATCATCCATCCATCATCCATCATCCATCCATCATCCATCCATCCATCATCCATCATCCATCATCCATCCATCATCCATCCATCCATCATCCATCATTCATCATCCATCCATCATCCATCCATCATCCATCATCCATCCATCCATCATCCATCATCCATCCATCATCCATCATCCATCATCCATCCATCATCCATCATCCATCCATCATCCATCATCCATCCATCCATCATCCATCGTCCATCCATCCATCATCCATCCATCATCCATCCATCCAACATCCATCCATCCATCCAACATCCATCCATCCATCCATCCATCCATCCATCGTCCATCCATCCATCCATCCATCCATCATCCATCATCCATCATCCATCCATCATCCATCATCCATCCATCATCCATCCATCCATCCATCCATCCAACATCCATCCAACATCCATCCATCATCGTCCATCCATCCATCCATCCATCCATCATCCATCCATCATCCATCATCCATCATCCATCCATCCAACATCCATCCATCCATCATCCATCCAACATCCATCCATCCATCCAACATCCATCCATCCATCCATCTACCTCCTGCTAAATGCAGCAGTGTTCTTAGATGAAGATCAGCTCATCTTCCTCCTGTTCCCTGGAAGCAGCCGATCATCTGTTATTCCCATCTGCAGTGATGGATTTCCCGCCCAGTAACAGCCTTCAGGTGTCACCGCGCTGTGATTTAACTCCCCGCTGGCTCCCGTACAGCCCGACCCGACTCACAGAAGGTTATGAACTGCAGACTCAGCACTTCCTGTGATGTCACAGCAGAGGAAATGCTTCCAACCCCCCCAGAACCCAGAGGAGAGGAAACCCAGAGCTGAGCTCAGCAGGAAGGTAGCTCTGAAACACAGCGGATTCAGTCTGGACAGAACCAACCGGAACCAGCCGGAACCAACCGGAACCAGCCGGAACCAACCGGAACCAACCAGAACCAGCCGGAACCAACCGGAACCAGCCGGAACCAACCGGAACCAACCAGAACCAACCGGAACCAACCGGAACTGAACCAACTGGAACCAACCAGAACCAACCGGAACCAACTGGAACCAACCGGAATCAACCGGAACCAACCGGAACTGAACCTTGATCACTAACTCCATTATCATCATCACCTTCATCATCACCATCCTCATCTTCCTCACTATCATCATAATTTTAACCATCATCATCATCATGATCATCATCATCATTTCCACCGTCATTATTTCATCATCATCCTCATAACCAAAGGAATCCTAGATCTTTAATGAACCTCCAGCTCTGGTTCTGCTGAACCAGAACCAGAACCAGGGAGGTTCCTCTGACCCAGACCGATCTGCGGCTGGCACTGACCTGTGGCTCTGAGAACACTTCCTGGATGCTGTTGATTGGTCCAACAGGAACACCTGATCCCTGGAACCTCCTCAGCCAATCAGCAGTTCTCTCCTGCAGGAACCTGAAAGGAACAGAACCAGACGATGAAGCGAGGCCCTAATGGGCCAACGGTTCTGATCCGCCCCAAAGAGGACCGGTCCGGTTGGAGCAGACCTCTCTGACAGCGTCTGCAGCAGCTGTTTGCGGTTCTGGACTCTCAGCTGGTTGGTTCTGTAGTTCGGGTCCTCAGTGAGATTCTGCAGATCCAGAACCTGCAGGTCCAACGGAACCAGAACACATTCTTAGACTAACTTTCAGAACTGCCTTAGAAAGAGATCTGTCAGAAGCACCTGGGCAAACGGATCGGACCAGAACTCCAGTCACACTCACCTGACACACTCTGACGAACTGCTGATCGTTCCCTGCAGCGACAACCAGGTGTCCATCTTTGGTTCTGAAGCCCTGGAGACACAGAGGAACCATGAAGGAACCAGAACCTGGACCCCAGGAATTCACTGGTCCCTGGATCCAAAAACCGGTCCCTGGATCCAAAAACCGATCCCTGGATCCAAAAACCAAAAACCGGTCCCTGGATCCAAAAACCGGTCCCTGGATCCAAAAAAACGGTCCCTGGATCCAAAAACCAAAAACCGGTCCCTGGATCCAAAAACCAAAAACCGGTCCCCGGATCCAAAAACCGGTCCCTGGATCCAAAAACCGGTCCCTGGATCCAAAAACCGATCCCAACCTGGAATAAACTAAAGCAGTTCATCAACCGGCGAAAAACTTTATTTATAAACCGGACAAACAGCTTAGCACTCACTGTAAGATGCGACATTACAGCATCTATGTTCTCTGGTTCTATCCTGCTCTGTTCTTGTCTGATTTATTCTACTTTATTCTGTTCTTTACTTTATTTCGACCCAAAGGTGGAATCATAATGATTTAATGAACAGATTTCAGCCTTTATCTGATTATTAATCAGAATATTTAACAGATCAACCGGTCCGCTATGGCAGGAATTAAACTACGTCCATTTTTAGTCATTGATTATTGATATCTGAAATAAAAATGGTACCAAATGTATTACAGAGATGTGAAATTCATTTTCAGACACCCAGAATGTTTATTTCAGAGAGGAGTGACGTCATTTCTCCTAGTAAGAATTACATCTCAGATATCTGAACGTTTATTTTGACTGGGAAGAAATGCATTTTAGACATCCGGATTACATTTTCAGTCGAGCTAATAAATGTGAAAATGGCCTGCCATACATCCACTTTGTTCTGACTGTCGGTCAGTTTGAGGAACAGGTTTGGATCAAAGAAAAATAAAGAAAACAGACCATTTTTTCTGCTGGGCTGAACAAGAAAAACATGGAGAACAGAACCAGAACTTTTTACTCTTTTTACTCTCTTCCTGTGAGTCAATAATCAGAACCGAGCAGAACCTCACTGAGACGTTCTGATGGGAAAATCAACTTTCCCAAAACCGTCTTTGGTTCCTCTGAATCATCAGAACTGATCTGGTTCTGAACAACCAGAACTTCTTCTCATGAAGCTCCTGATTGGTTTATCTTCAGCTTTCATTCCTCATTTGGACCTCAGGGGTTCTGGTTCCCGTTGGCCCATCTGGTCATGGAGCTAAATCCATGATACGGACACGTCGGAATCGGAACAGGCGCCGAGTCTGGAGCAGGTCTCGGGTCTTTCCTTCCTCATGTTGAATCGGACCAATGAGGAGCTGCTGCAGGTTCTGGAGCTTTACTAAGAGGAGAGCCTCCAGAGGAAACCTGCTGAAAGGCCGCCGCGTCTCTTCCTGCCGACGGCCTCCATCTTTCCTGTCTGACTCTCAGCCACATGAAAGGAGCTGCAAACACAGAGCGTTCACCTCTGGTCACGCCGTTCCCACCGCAGCTATGCTTTCATCTGCCACCCCAGGGGCTTGTGGGTAATGTGGTCCACATGGGGATGAAACGTTCAGCCACAGAACCTCAGAGAGGAGAGGAACTGGTGGGCTCCCAGTAGGGAGGCTTGTGCCCCCTGCTGGCTGAAAAAGACCCGGACAGACAGGCAGACAGACAGACAGACAGACAGACAGACAGACAGACAGACAGACAGACAGACAGACAGCTGAACTCCAAGCAGGAGATTCTGCAGAACATCTAAGGCTGTTCTTCTGCAGATTTAGCTGCATTTAGTGACACATCGAGGGAAAATAAAGGCTATTTCTATTCAATTCAACTCTTTTCTATTGCTGTCTCTATGTTCATGGATGTTGGCTAACGCTTCCTCAGCCATCTGTGGTTCTTTCTGGGTTCATTAATTCTGTTTGTTGAATGAAGACCTGAAGGACGCATTACAGACGTTAGATTTTAGATCTAAAGCTCAGCTGACCTCCTGACCTTCCTGAAACTGAGCCTCAATAAATTTTAACAAACTGTTGTTCACATTCCTTCATTATCTAAGTGAGGAGAGAATCCTCATATCTATCAGCTGATCTACTGCTGCTGAAATGAGCTTCCTCTGCAGGTTGGTTGGAAGCTGCAGAAGAAGGTGATGAGTTCAGAGACCAGTTTGAGAAACGATTCAGAGAAAATGGAGGCGGTTCGATCAGGATCCCTGTCCTGGATCTCTTGGTTTTTAGCCTTTCCAGTCATGTCCTGCTGGGATGACGTCTCTGACATCTGGAGTCATTAACATCTGGAGACACTAGCATCTGGAGTCATTAGCATCTGGAGTCATTAGCATCTGGAGACACTAGCATCTGTAGACACTAGCATCTGGAGTCATTAGCATCTGGAGTCATTAGCATCTGTAGACACTAGCATCTGTAGTCATGAGCATCTGTAGTCATTAGCATATGTAGACACTAGCATCTGTAGACACTAGCATTTGGAGTCATTAGCATCTGGAGTCATTAGCATCTGGAGTCATTAGCATCTGTAGACACTAGCATCTGGAGTCATTAGCATCTGGAGTCATTAGCATCTGGAGACACTAGCATCTGGAGTCATTAGCATCTGTAGACACTAGCATCTGTAGTCATGAGCATCTGTAGTCATTAGCATATGTAGACACTAGCATCTGTAGACACTAGCATTTGGAGTCATTAGCATCTGGAGTCATTAGCATCTGGAGTCATTAGCATCTGTAGACACTAGCATCTGGAGTCATTAGCATCTGTAGTCATTAGCATCTGTAGACACTAGCATCTGAAAACATTAGCATGTGGAGTCATTAGCATCTGGAGTCATTAGCATCTATAGACACTAGCATCTGGAGTCATTACCCTTTGTAGTCATTAGCATCTATAGACACTAGCATCTGTAGACACGAGCATCTGTAGTCATTAGCATCTGTAGTCATTAGCATCTGGAGTCATTTGCATCTGGAGTCATTTGCATCTGGAGACACAAGCATCTGTAGTCATTAGCATCTGTAGTCATTAGTATCTGTAGACACGAGCATCTGTAGTCATTAGCATCTGTAGTCATTAGCATCTGGAGTCACTAGCATCTGGAGTCACTAGCATCTGGAGTCACTAGCATCTGGAGTCATTTGCATCTGGAGACACAAGCATCTGTAGTCATTACCATCTGGAGACACTAGCATCTGGAGTCATTTGCATCTGGAGTCATTTGTATCTGTAGACACTAGCATCTGTAGTCACTAGCATCTGGAGTCATTTGCATCTGGAGTCATTTGCATCTGTAGACACTAGCATCTGTAGTCACTAGCATCTGGAGTCATTGCATCTGGAGTCATTAGCATCTGGAGTCATTAGCATCTGGAATCATTAGCATCTGTAGACACTAGCATCTGGAGTCATTAGCATCTGTAGACACTAGCATCTCTAGTCATTAGCATCTGTAGGCATTAGCATCTGGAGACACTAGCATCTGGAGTCATTAGCATTTGGAGTCATTAGCATCTGAAGTCATTAGCATCTGTAGACACTAGCATCTGGAGTCATTAGCATTTGGAGTCATTAGCATCTGAAGTCATTAGCATCTGTAGACACTAGCATCTGGAGTCATTAGCATCTGTAGACACTAGCATCTGTAGACACTAGCATCTGTGAACACTAGCATCTATAGTCATTAGCATCTGGAGTCATTAGCATCTGTAGTCATTAGCATCTGGGGTCTCTAGCATCTCTAGTCACTAGCATCTGTAGACACTAGCATCTGTGAACACTAGCATCTGGAGTCATTAGCATCTAGAGTCATTAGCATCTGTAGACACTAGCATCTGGAGTCATTAGCATCTCTAGACACTAGCATCTGTAGACACTAGCATCTGTGAACACTAGCATCTGTAGTCATTAGCATCTGTAGTCATTAGCATCTGTAGACACTAGCATCTCTAGTCATTAGCATCTGTAGGCATTAGCATCTGGAAACACTAGCATCTGTAGTCATTAGCATCTGGAGTCATTAGCATCTCTAGTCACTAGCATCTCTAGTCACTAGCACCTCTAGTCACTAGCACCTCTCGTCACTAGCATCTCTAGTCACTAGCATCTCTAGTCACTAGCACCTCTAGTCACTAGCACCTCTAGTCACTAACACCTCTAGTCACTAACACCTCTAGTCACTAGCTCCTCTAGTCACTAGCTCCTCTAGTCACTAGCACCTCTAGTCACTAGCACCTCTAGTCACTAACACCTCTAGTCACTAGCTCCTCTAGTCACTAGCATCTCTAGTCACTAGCATCTCTAGTCACTAGCACCTCTAGTCACTAGAATCTCTAGTCATTAGCATCTGTAGACACTAGCATCTGGAGACGTTAGCATCTGTAGTCGTTAGCATCTCTAGTCGTTAGCATCTCTAGTCACTAGCACCTCTAGTCACTAGCACCTCTCGTCACTAGCACCTCTCGTCACTAGCACCTCTAGTCACTAGCACCTCTAGTCACTAACACCTCTAGTCACTAACACCTCTAGTCACTAGCTCCTCTAGTCACTAGCACCTCTAGTCACTAGCATCTCTAGTCACTAGCACCTCTAGTCACTAGCATCTCTAGTCACTAGCATCTCTAGTCACTAGCACCTCTAGTCACTAGCACCTCTAGTCACTAACACCTCTAGTCACTAGCATCTCTAGTCACTAGCACCTCTAGTCACTAGCACCTCTAGTCACTAACACCTCTAGTCACTAGCACCTCTAGTCACTAACACCTCTAGTCACTAACACCTCTAGTCACTAGCTCCTCTAGTCACTAGCACCTCTAGTCACTAGCATCTCTAGTCACTAGCACCTCTAGTCACTAGCACCTCTAGTCACTAGCATCTCTAGACACTAGCATCTGTAGACACTAGCATCTGTGAACACTAGCATCTGTAGTCATTAGCATCTGTAGTCATTAGCATCTGTAGTCATTAGCATCTGTAGACACTAGCATCTCTAGTCATTAGCATCTGTAGACATTAGCATCTGGAAACACTAGCATCTGTAGTCA